TCTTCTTGGGCACTGCAGGACTTAGAGAAAAGCCAGCCGCCACTCTCTACCCTCTTGGCCTACTCTGAGTCAGGGCAGGGAACGTTCCTTGCACATGGGAGTTGGCAGGGGTATTCTGGCTGAATGGGCAGGGCAGGGGCCCAACTTTGGTCCCTCAAGAGAGCCTATAAGTAGCTAGGGAGTGTCATGTGACAGTCCTGGGCTGCACCCTCCCCCCTCTGGTTCCCTGTCCCTCCTCCTTAGGCCATGCCCTGATCTGGACTATAGTCATCTGTCACCTGAGCCTGGGGTAGGGGCTAGAAGGTACATGGATTAGCAGGGCCATTTATTGATCTTATGGTTAGGATGGTAGGAAGAAATAATCCCAGCACTTTCAGGCACCTGTTCTTTTTACTTATCTGCTAGTTTCAAAACTTAAATTGCCACCTGGCTTGTCTCCCTTGCCTTGCTCCTCTTCCCCAGTGGCTTTTGGGCTAGGAGCTTGGCATGTAGTTTGTTCCCACCCTTCTCCAGACCAGGACTAATAGTGGTTTAACCTTTAGGCAGGAGCTGCCCCTGAGGTCCAGCTGAGCCCCGCGGAGGAGGCCCACCAACGGCTTGAGAGGATCTTCACAGCTTCTGTAATGCCACTTCTCTTGTGTGTGGGGTCCCCAGGCTCTGGCTCTCCCAAGCTGGAGGCTGGGCTATGTGTCTGTGGGTAGGAAATCCCAGGCTGGAGGGAAGGTATCATGGTGGTCTGTGGGCCCCATGATGGCTCTGTGGAAGACTGTTCCTCTGAAGAACCCAGAGTCCCGTGCACATGGAAGGTGTTCTTCCTGACCGGGGAGCCAGTCCCCTTCCCTGGCTCTGTTCTCCTGCCTCTAAGGGCATATATTGGTGGTAGGGCCAGGTGGGTGGCAAGGGCCATTGTGATACCCTAGCTCTCCAGATCTAGGGGAACCTATTATCCTAGGCCTTTGAGCGCTTTAAACAGACAGAGAGATCAAGACTGGCCCCAGGGCCTGCCCACAGTACTTTGGCTCTCTCACAGTTGGCAGGTGGCCCCTTTTCACATTACTCTGGCTCTCATACATTCGAGCCTGGATAGGATGATCCCTCCCTTGCCATGAGGCTAGTGTGCCTTCTTGGGCATGGCAGGAGTTGCACAGTGGTATAATGGAGGGCCGAGGAAGGCGTTCTAGACTTGGGCCTTTAGTGGCCTTGTCCTGTGAGGGTGCAAGAGTGAGCTGTGGAAGACAGTCCTCCCTTGGCCTGGGGAGTGGCAGCCCCTTGGGCATGCATTTGAAGGTGAGGGAGAACTCTTGGCCGGTACCTGGTGCCCACAGGGGAGCAGGGCTGAGGGGTACCCTGGAGATAAGGCGAGAATGTCCCAGGAAAACCAGGCCCTGGCTGTGGTGAGGTGGCAGACACATGGAAGAAAGAGCCTAATTCAGCATGGACCAGATGGCCAGCCCATGAGACACTGGCAGAGACAGAGTGGCACACCCCTGCCTGGGTATAGGGATGACTCCCAAGAGCCTCTTTTATGGGGTGGGGAAGGGTTGTGGGAGCCAAGTGTCTCTTCTTTCTGGTCTGGCTTCTTCATGTGTGCAATTCTCCTGCCCAGGCCAGGTCAGGTCTGCCTAGAGGGCAATTCTCTCTTCCACTCTGCACCTTGGACAGCCGAAGAACGCCAGCCCATTGGCCAAGAAGTGCTTGCTGAGGGGGGCAAGCAAGTGTCTGCTTATCTTCACCCCTCTTTTCTCTCTTTTCTTTGTTTGCTGCCGGTAGCTGGACCCTGAGGCCGCCTCTCCTGCCCACAGCCAGGTAGGGTGCTCCTGCCCCCTTCAGGAGCCCCCCGATTCCTCCAGTGACCACCCACTGCCCCTGGCCTGTACCTGGGCTGGCGTCTGTGCTCGGGCCTCCTGCTGGAGTGTAAGGCCTCTTTCCCCTCCAGGCTCCTCCTGCCTCGTGTCTGGGGGACCCCCAAGGGAGGCAGTGCCAGGAGCTAATTTGGTGAAACTCTCTACCAGACCCTAAGGGAGAATCACTGATTTTTTGACTTCTCAGGATTCTCAGCTATTGGAGCCCAAGGGCCAGCTGAGTTCTAGGTGTCAGAGCCCTACTCACTTTGGATGGGGGGTGAGGATGGAGGGAGCCAAAAAGGTCATTCATGTCTTTTCCCTAGACTGAGCCTATAGATAAGAAGGTCTTTGTCTCCACCTCCTGGCCAGTAAGAGAAGCCTGTGTGCAGATTAGCTCCTAAATTAGTGACAGGCCATTCATTATTCTTTGGTGCCACCCCCAATACTTAACCAATAGATCCTGCCTACTTGTGACAAAGATTTTTTTTACCTGTCATACATAATTTGAAGAGACTAAAATATTGTAGGTTTTGGTAATTATATTTCCTTTTTTTTCTTGTCCTGGGGCTTGAACTCAGGGCCAAAGCTCTGTCCCTGAGCTTCTTTTTTGCTCAAGGCTAGTACTCGACCACTTGAGGCACAGCGCCACTTCCATCTTTTTCTGTTTATGTGGTACTGAGGAATCGAACCCAGGGCTTCATGCTAGGCAAGCACTCTACCACTAAGCCACATTCCCAGCCCTCTCCATTTATTTTTTAGGAGTAGAACACAGGCCTCATGTTTGCTAGGCAAGCACTCTATTGAGCCAACACACCTCAGCCATTCTTTGCTTTCTTATTTTTGGGTTAGAGTCATGCTTTTGTGCCTGGGACCATGATCCTCCCACTTATGTTTCTCTGTGTTGCTATTATCACAGGCACAGGACATTGCACCCAGCTATTAGTTGAGATTGGGGTTTCACTTTTTTCCTAGGATTGCTCCAACTGTGACCCTGAGTAGCTAGGATTACGGGTGTGAGGTTTTTCTTTTCTTGTTTTCCCTCCCTCTCTCCCTCCCTCCCTCCCTC